TATATTTTCGGAAGAATAATTCGAAAACACCATATAATTCGCTCCACATTAAAAATAACGATTGGACTTAATAATTAAACGCAAAGACTTAAATGCAATAAAAAATTGTAAAACGATATCAGTGCTTTTGCTCTAATATTATATGATACAATGCAATTTGAGTTAATTATTAACTCTAAAAAATAATTATTTAAAAAATGTTTTCCTAAAAAATAAAAAATAAAAACTAAATATGAAATCAATAGTTAACTAGCCAAGTACTTAGAAGCAATTCAGGTTGTAAGGATTTGTAATTTGGAATGGTATTTGTCATAAAATCAATCTTGCATTTATAGATATATTATAGAAATATAATAGTGTAATTTTTTAATAAAAATAAAATGCATTTTACTGTAATAACGTCGATTACATTGGTTACCAATTTTGAATTTAAAAGTGCCTCATACCAAACTGATCGACTTATTGTCTTGAAATTAATCATAAGCTTTACCAGATACGCCCGAAACGAAAAAGATTAAGATTAATGTGACGTACAAAAACTTGGCATGCCCAGGTCGCATTATAAGTCATATATTTTTATTAATATATTGATAATAATTTCTGATAATTTTTTGCAAATTTCTATTTCAGATCGGGCACGCCAAGTATTTGTATGTCACTTTAATCTTAATCTTTTTCGTTCCGGTATTTTATAAATACAATTTTAACACAGAAGTTAAACTGTATACAAATCGTATAATCAATAATAATAATATAAATTGTGTAAATAAATAAATATCAAAATATAGAAAGAAAATTCTTTTTATTACGAAGCAGATTGATATATTTAATATGAATATGAAACAAGTGCATTCTATTAAATAAAAGTATACACCTAAACAGTATATAATTTTTTCTGAAATGTTTTCTAATAAATGATAAAACCAGAAGAGATCAAATATTTTTTTGCATTTATTGATTTATTAAATATGCTTATATATCGCGGAATAATGTAACACAAGTAGAAAAGTGATAAAGTGATTAAAGATTATTAAGAGTATCGCGGAATAGTGCAAGGAAGAGAAGTGATTTCTTCTAATCGGTGTCATATTGAGTAAAGTTAGATTATATTAGCGAAACCAAGCGAATGCTTTACACACAATGCTTGAATCTGTCCATTGTCAATTAACATATTTGTGATAAATACATCGGAAAATAATTATAGAAATATTGAAGGAATATTTGGAGATTTTGGCTGGCTATGTTTTCGATAACTATAAGCTGGTAATTATACGCATGAACGCGCATTCATTCATATGTATAATGTTTATTTATATTTTACAAACAAATGTAATTAATGCATAATTAATATCTTTAGATTAACTTACAAATGGCTACGCAATGAGTTTATATTAAAGTACCAAAATAAATCTTGTGAAAATTCTATTAAAAATATCATAAAAAAACAACATTAAATACACATTTTTATTAATTGGCTTCATAAGGAATAATCAAATAATAAAATCATATCGAAGCAGTTCTGTAGTATCCACAAACATGAAGCGGATCTGGATTTACTCGCAACATTTGTAATAAATACATTGTTGGAAAATAATTATGGAAGCATTGAAGGAATATTTGGAGATTTTGACTGGCCATGTTCTCGATAACTATAAACTGGTAATTATATGCGTGAACGCGCATTCTTATATATGTATAATGTTTATTTATATTTTATGAACAAATGTAATTAATGCATAATTAATATCTTTAGATTAACTTACAAATAGCTACGCAATGAGTTTATATTAAAGTACCTTATATAAATGTAATTAATGCGTAATTAATATTTTTAAATCATTTACAGATGGCTAAGCAATGAGTTGCATGTTTATATTAATATAACAAAACAAATATTGTGGAAATTTTATCAAAAATATTACATATACAGTTGAATTGAAAGCGTCAAAATTAGAGTCTGAAATAGAAATGTTAAGCATCAGTCAAAGAAGAGAAATAAGGTAATAATTTTGTTTATAAATTATATAATAAAGATTATTTATTTTCTTAAACTAAACACTTTAAGAATAAGACTTAATCTATTTAACTTTTCTTGACATAATGGTTGAACTTATTTTTTTAAAACAATAAGAAACATGAATGTGGAAATTGATGATTTATTCGGATACCTTTTGCAATATAATGTTATCTGAGAGCATTAAAATATGTCATCAACAAAAAGTAGTTTCAATTTGAATCAAAATGAGGAGGATGAATCGGTTAGTGATGCTGAAATGCAGATTTTATTAGAAGATAGTATAAGAGTTTATAATAATTTAGCAGTTGCATTGATTAAAACACAAGTCTGCAATGCAGCTTTAGAAAATGTGAAACATGTTTTGAGGTGTCAATCACAAAATGTGAAAACGCTATTTAGGAAAGGTATTGCAAAATACCAAATCTTCTTTTATTTACTATATTTAATCTATTTTTTTTAAATAAGTTGTATATATATTCTTGATTTATATTTTACATACGGGAAATTCAAATATGTATGTATATATATTAAGCGTATCGTAGAAACAATATTGAGACACAAAGGGGAATATGCAAAAGCTTATGCAATCTCTCTCTCCACTGAAATTCAAAAATTAAATCCAGAAATAAAGAAATTTACTACAGAATTAATGATGATGAAATTACTAAAGATGCAGAAAAAGAAAAGCATCTATATCGTAAAATGTTAGGTGTAGTTGAAGATATTAAAATTCTGTCGAAGGATATAAAAGTAGATGATAAAAGTAAGTAATTACCTACGATACGCACAATATATATACACACATATTTGAATTTTCCATATGTAAAATGTAAATCAAGAATATACACAACTTATTTAAAAGAAAAGATTAAATATAGTAAATAAAAAGATTAGAATTTTTGCAATACCTTTCCTAAATAGTGCTTTAACATTTTGTGGTTGACACCTCGAAACAAATGTTTCACATTTTCTAAAGCTGCAGCGCAGGTTTCTGTTTTAATCAACGCAACAGCCAAATTATTATAAACTTTTATACGATCCTCTAATAAAATCATTAACCGACTCTTCCTCCTCATTTTGATTCAAATTTTAATTATATTTGTCGATGACAGATATTCTAATATTCTTCGATAACATTATATTGCAAAAGGCAGCTCCATATAAATATCTCCATATAAATAGCTCCAAATAAACCATCAATTTCCATGTTCAAGTTTCTCATTGCTTTAAAAAAATTAATTCAACCATTATTTAAAAAAAATTATCTGCGATCTTCTATAACTCAGGACCGATTAATGGAATTATGACTTTTAGCTATAGAACATGAACTTTGTGAAAGTTTAGATTTAGTTTGATATTGCAGACCTTGGCGTTTTGTGAAATAAACGCTCGTAGAATTATACGGCCTTCCTCAGTTTAGACTTATAAATGGAAGGCGTATATCTTAATCAAAAGTATTAATATGTATTACTTAAAAGTATTATGAAATGATAGTAATATATGTATAATTGAAATATAATATATAATAATATACGGTTATAATAACTTGTGTGTAATCTTTTTGGATTATATAATACTATATAATATAAATAAATAACTTATCTTAAGAAAAAGTAATACTATTACATAATGGCGTATTAAAGAATAGTTATAAATATATATTGTTATATATAAAGTTATAAAAATATAAAGTAATGGTGTTCTTATTAATATCTAATTTAATTATAATAATTAAAAATTATTACACATGTATATAATAATAAAATAAATAATATAAAATGATGTATAACCAAAAGAAGCGATAATAATTTTCTTTTTACTTGATAAATAACTTTATAAATAAAAAGAATTCAAAGTTTTGTATAAGAATAAAATGTTTCCAGGTTTTCAAAAAAATTTATTTTGGAAATCGTATAATTAATATACGTATATCTGTAATTTTTAAACTGGAATAATCCGGAATAAAAGTCTATATACAGGGTGTCCTAAAACTACCGTATTTTTTTTACCGTACTGATTTGTACTTGAATCATTTTTTAAATGCCTTTGGTTCTTGCATGTATTATTCGTAAAAAGAATGTACTAATGCAATGCGTAGAAAAGCGGGGAAACATATAATAACAATGCTATTATAAAGGAAGGTATGCATTTTAGGCAGTTTGGGCAGCACGCAGGCATCGTTGGATTCATCTTTTTATTCACTCACAAGGAACATTCGGCAACGCGAAAATTCAAAAAAATCTGAAACTTTGCATAATTATAGAGTAGTAGTCCTTAATAACGAAACGATTTTTTGTTGGTGCTAAAAATCAATTTCAGGGATGAAAACAACCCCTTAGAAAAAATCGGTTTTTACATTTCAAAGCGAATATTATCGAAACAAAAAGAAATATGAAAAAATTGTTTAAACAAAAGTTTTATGGTTTCAAATGTACTTTACAATGGCGTATCTGGATTTTTTAAAAATGGTAAATTTTTTGGAATACCCCCACCACTCAATATTTTCCTTTGATATTTTAAAAAAATTTTTAAATTATATTAAAGCTTATGTTACGCCAAATTCAACCATGTATGTTAGTATATATTTTTCTTCTTTAAAATAACAAAAATTTATTGGATTATCAAGCTTTTCAGGCCGCGTTGATAAATATCCACTTTTGTACCAACTATATTTAAATACATTTTGAAATCTTGGAGAAGAAAGTTGATTATGTGTTAAACTTTGTAATATTATTATATTATTACGTGAATGTAAATTTATGTCATAATTATTTAAAATAATATCAAGAAAACATCGAACAAAATTTTTCAAAATTCTAAAACCGAAAACATCTAAAGGTTGTACATAAGCAGTTGTTTTTTTTGGTATTGTTAAAATATTTACTTGTTTGTCTGCTGGTATAAATTCTTTTAATTGTTCCGGACAATGTCCTGTCCATGAATCAAGCAGTAGTAGACTTTTTTCTCCAGTATTTCGTAAATATACTTCTTCAAACCAGTTTTTGAAATGTTGGCTTGCGAGTTTTCCGGATTTTGAAGCCGCAATGTAAACATTAATAGGTCTAAAAAGAGTTTCTTCTACTCGTGGTCCAAATTTTCCACTAGATTCTTTTAGTACTATATACAGAGGTGAAAGAAAATGTCCATCTGCAGATATAATGGTATAACTATAAGTCATAGAAGATAAAGATTGGATAGTAGATTCGACTTGTTTTGCTCCCACATTAGTTAATGTTCTTCCAGAATGTATTTCGAAATTAAAGCCACTTTCATATGCATTATAAATTGATCCTGCACCGATAACAATATGTGGTTTTACCTGTCTCACAAATTCCTCTGCGGTTTGACGTATTGTTACATCAGCTGCATGAGAAGATTGCGTTTTAAAACTTGTTATTTTACGTGATACAATGCAATGTGCTTTTTTAAAATTCCATATCCATCAATTTCCTGCTCAAAATGAAGAAAAGTCTATTTGCTCCTTTGCTTGTAATGTCCATTTTCACAAATCTATGTCGTGAATGATAGATCCTCTATCAATAGCTTCTTGGAATTGCGATAGTACATATTCGGCAATAAATACAAGTTTGTCCCTGTTTGACTCTCCGCGCATTACATTTTCTTCCCATCTATGCAATTGCAAACAGATTTTACCTCGAAGAAAAGAAGTTTGATATTTAGAAAATCTAATTCAAAAATAAAAAGACTAAAGAACTAACGCAGATATGCGAAGTAAGTAATGTGCATAAGTCTTATGTTTGTATTAAATTTTACCTTTCTAAAACGATTCTGTACAGCAGTAACAGCTAAATGTCCTTTCTTTCCACTGTTCCAAAATTCAACTGCTATTCTTTTGTAATTTAAATTTACATTTCCACCTTCGTTATCCACAATACAAACTTTGTCTTCATAATTATCTTCTTCAGCATCAATATCATACACGTCCACAAATTGTACATCGTGCGGTTCCGACGGATCGTCAAAATCAAGTTCCCATTTGTATTCAATCTCAACATCATCATTTACAGCATTTTTTATTATATCGGAAATGGCATTATGAAGTTCAACTTCATGGCGATTAACAGGTGAGACACCAAAATTTGCAATGTTAAACGTTGTGATTAATAAATTTATTGTAAAGTACATTTAAAACCATAAAACTTTTGTTTAAACAACTTTTTCACATTTCTTTTTGTTTCAATAATATTCGCTTCGGAATGTAAAAACCGATTTTTTCTAATGGGTTGTTTTCACCCCTGAAACCGATTTTTAGCACCAACAAAAAATCAGGACCACTACTCTATAATTATGCAAAGTTTCAAATTTTTTTGAATTTTCGCGTTGCCGAATGTTTCTTGTCAGTTTTACTTACTAAACCAGAAAATCATAGTCAAAATAGTCTTAGTATCCAGGAAAAATTTTGAGACACATATTTTAAACAGAAGAAACCAACGGTTGATTTTATCACTTTCTCGAGCCATCTCAACAAATTTCTCTTATCATATTTTTATTAAAATTGTGGCTTTTCCTAAAGAATAAATTAGACTTAGTTCTTTTTTTTTTTTTTTTAGATAGTGTTTTTTTTTATAGTGGCGGAAAAAGAGAGAGATAGAAAGTATTGCATACATGCATATATCTCATAGGACACAAAGATTTTTTTTTTTTCAGATACTCAATGTGAAAATAATGGTTCCGTCTTTATCATTGTCAACTATTTCTCCCCCCCCC